GTGTATATTTCAGGAATTTAAGAAGTCGTCTAGCTAAGAGTTACACCATGCAGAAAACACCATTCGGGGATAAATGCACATAAATATTAACAAAAATGTTAATATTACAATTAACATTTTTATGCTAGAATAAATGTGTTATTCTTTAAGGTATTACAAGACTCTTTGTTGTCTTTTAAGACAACAGCTGTCCACAGTTTTTATAAGCATTTATAACCCTTGGATAAATCAGCAGAAGATGGTTGCTGTTTTGTTTTTAAGTGCTGCTTAATCAAATACTGTAGTCATAATAATTATAATTTATGTTCATATATGCACTGGCTGAGGCATGCTTGGGATTGCAGGCCCTTTTCTGTTGAATTTTGTGTACATTTGCATCCTTAACTGGACTACTGTATAGTTGCCACCTGAAGACCAGATAACAACAGTGATTTTCATTATACTGTGAAATTCATGTAGCTATTTACTCGAATGGAATTCCTTGAAGTAACTAAGGTAGGCACAAGAAAAGTCATTTCAGGATACGATTGCCCACGCTCAAGTTCTTACCTATACCAAGCTAGACAATCCAGATTAAAAGGAAATGCAGGATATGTTTGCATACATCTTCTCGGTACAACATCTAGTTTACCAAGATAGCTTTTGTTTAAAGTGGCCCACTCAGAATCAGTTACTGAGGTTTTCTCCAGTATGCCCTTTTTGATTTAAAAACCTATCAACTGAGTTGAAATTCTTATTTAGTCAAGAATCTAGATCATTCATTTTTGCCTTTCCTTTTCTGTTCTACTTCTTAGTGTACCAACATTTATTCCCTGTGCATATCAAATTAGAGGACAGCTAAAAGAGAAGTTGAAGATGCCATGTGTTAATTAACCCCCATATAACTGCTTTGGTTTGCCTGCCGTGGCTTGTGTTGGGAAAATTTGGGTAAATCCTGTCTGAAAAACATCACTCCTGTGTGCCTTTGCATTGTGGGATCAAATCCTGTCTTCCTTCTCAAAACCAAGCTGTCACTGTTTAAAATGGCATTCCCTTGCTCCTTTCTCTCACCTTTAGCTGTAGGGTACAGTAGGCCATTTTAGCCCAAATATACATTGTAAATAGTCATTGTTGGAATTCAGTTTACAATAATCTTTTGATAGCCCAGAGGGCTTCATGTGCCCTGAGCATGCAGAATGTTTAGAGTCGAGATAAGGGTCTGAGCATCATGAATAGTTTCTAGTAGCTTGAATTTGCATGTTTGAGCAGACCTGGAGATGGGTTCAAGTTACTCAACTAAAGTGTCAATACAGGCAATTAGAAATATTTTAATCTCATTGTTACAGTGTGATTGACTGACATTTCTTTATCTGTTCTGTATGTGATGACCTCAGAATCTTATTGTAATCTCTGCATTCTGTCATCAATTGCCCTGTAC